GGGGGGGCAAAAAGGGTCAAACTGACTAAAGTTTCAAAAATCTTCTTCTCAAGATCCAGATATGGTAGAATCAAAATAAGGTGCTTTACCAAAATTGTGAATTTCATGACCTTGGGGTCTCACATTTCCCTCTGGGGAGGGGGTACACTTTACCATAGTTTATATAGGGCAATCACATTTTGGACCAGCATTTGTTTATTTTCCTTTGGAATTAATTCAAACTTGGTTAGCATTATCAGTATTTGATAGCAGTTTCATGATATGTACAAATCAGCCATGACTGACCCCCAGGGGCTGATGGGTGGGGCCAAAAAGGGTTTAATTGTCTGAAATTTCTTAATCTTCTTCTCAAGACCAAGATATGGTAGAATCAAATGCTCTTCATAGATGGAAGTGTCTTAAGGATGCACTCATCTGAGGTTTCAATCACGTTCAAGTTTCGTTTTGATCTGGTATAACGGGTTTTTGTAATATGATGTTCAAGTTTATTAGCAAACACGCATCTGAAAAATATGTCAAAAAACTAAATGCCTGTTGTTTGTAGAACTATTTTTACAAGAATTTTAAAAAAATACCAATTCGGCGGCCATTTTGAAAATGTGTTTTAATGTGATTTCTTGCACTTCAAAAAAGGCAAAAAATCCACATTTTTTGACATTAGATTGATCCCATAAATTGTCATTGTGTCGATACACATTTTCTTTTAATTCTTTAAATAATAAAAAAGGTTTAATAGCAGAACTTTTTATATCCAGCGTTTAATCTGCAAAAGATGGTAAAAAATGAGTATTTTTTCATTAAAAAATAGTGGGTAGGGGTAACTAAAATCGACTTTCTGAGCTAAAAGAATAAGATTAAGAAATTTTCCTTCCATAATTTAAAAGAAAATTACAAACATTCATACATATCTGATACCACACTTGGTAGAAATTGTACGAATTTGTTTTTCAAATGGTCAAAGCCCAAAAACGAATACACGTACATATTTATTTTTGCATTTTCTACTATGCCATTATTTCCTTTTTCCAAAAATCTATATAAGAAAAAAAGTTTAATAAAGGAATATTTTGACTTCTCAGAGGTGTACATCCTTAAGGTGCTTTACCATAATTCAGCTGACTGACAGAACCACTATTTGTACATAGTACATATACTACCCAGATCTTTCACACTACTTTTGCATTACATGTAGTTCAAGTTACCTTTGTTACAAAATGATTTCTTTATCATTTGGCAACATCGATTACATCAGTTTTTACATAACTCAGGTGACCGTTAAGGCCCGTGAGTCTCTTGTTTTTTATCTACTCTCTATTTCACACGGTGACTCAGTAGGCACTCGTCCTCATATGACCCTGGCTGTTGCGAGGATGTTTAACTCCAAACAAACTAAATATTCTTTTGTTTTCCTAATGAATAAAAAAACCAGTATATAAGGTCTATTCTTGATTTCAAAATAGTTTGCCCTAGCATCACCGATGCATGATTCAGTGTAATTTATTTATAGTTCAACTAAACTTAATTTTAAATGTGTGTGAATAACGTTCATCTCTCAAACTATGGTCTACTGGCGCTGTGTAGAAGCTGTGTTGAGAGTATGTCGTGTGTAGACGCTGTGTTGAGAATATGTCGTGTGTAGACGCTGTGTTGAGAGTATGTCGTGTGTAGAAGCTGTGTTGAGAGTATGTCGTGTGTAGAAGCTGTGTTGAAAGTATGTCGTGTGTAGACGCTGTGTTGAGAATCTGTCGTGTGTAGACGCTGTGTTGAGAGTATGTCGTGTGTAGACGTCGTGTTTAGAGTCTGTCGTTGTGACTAAAGGTTATGCACAAACCTGTCGTTTTGTGTTGACAGTGTTCAGGATGTCGTGTTTTGTTGATGCTGTATTTAGTCTTACTCCTTCGTTGTTTATAGGTAATTGCACTGTACACATTGTGCAGTTTCGTGTAGACGCTGTTGGTAGATATCGACAGTTCAGAGCCTTTCACTTTGTACTGACGCTTTGTTCAGAATATGTCGTAGCGTGAAGGTATTGATACTGTTCCTAGATTATCGTTGTGTAGAGATGTTGTGGTCTGGGACTGTTGTGGGACATACATATGTACCAAAGTCCTAAAAATATCAGCTGTTATTCCCTGTTTAACGTTCAGCATTAAGGGTAATGGCAACAACTGGTTCACCCGTAAGTAAGTATAATGTGACCGGGCGGGATGGCATAGTATTTCAGTGAGATTGCAATCTTAAGTTGGCATCAGGTCCGCACTATCACAAGGAGGTAGATACGTTAACATGCCCTGTCTCCAGCACAAATACACACATACACACATACACAAATGCACGCTTGCACAACACATATGGAGACACGTTACCTTAGCTGTTAATAGGACGTTAAACTATATAAAACCCAAACCCAAAACCATCGTGTGAATACGCTGTGTTTTGAGTTTGTCATTGTGTTTAAAGTCTGTTGTTGTATGTAGATGTTGTGTTCAGATCAGAGTAAACGTTATTGTTTACAAATTTTCAGATTGTTGTGTTCAGTCTTATTTCAACAACAATGGAGGCACGTACTAACATAACACTTTTCTTTTGATAGGACGTTATTATCTGTACAACAAACCAACCGATCCATGTCTAACTAAATGTTAATGAAGTTATTTACTCACATAAATTATATATAACATTCAGTTTTTATAAATTCCATGAATGAAAAAAATCTATAGGGCCTTTATATGCATTTATTCATGCGGCTTTTTATACAATAAAGTATATTCGGTTACACTTTTATTATTTCCACGAATGAAACATTTCTATAGGGCTTTTATAACCATTTATTCATGCAGCTTTTTATACAATAAAGTATATTTTATTTTATTAAGACGGCATTATACATGTACCTTAACACAATGCGATAGGCTGCTTCAGGAATCACCCCGATGGCTGATATCCCGTGGACGATACAGAGAGGCTGAAGTTATCCTCAGAAAGATTGCAAAAGTAAATAATTCAACCGTGGATGATACATTTTTTGAGCAATTAAACTATGACAACATCATTCCCATCCAGGCTAAGAAAAAGGAATCAATACTTTGGCACCTGTTTTCGTCACGCGTGCTGTTGATGAGGACATTATTAATTCTTTACAATTGGTGAGTTATGTTTCTTTCTAAGAAAGTTTTAAATACAAAATAGAAATTTACAGTTATTGAAATGATAAAATCTACTTATAAGGTCATAGTAGAATTCCCTGAACAATTTATTGGAAAAAAAATATAATGAACCTTTCATGCAACTCTTAACTGGAATTGTGGAGCTCATGGAAATAAGAATGGCTGCACAATGTTTCAATGAATGATTTGCACGTTTCTTTGAATTAAGTCACTTAACGTTGGAATTGCTTGCTCCTGATCTCTCTAGCTAAGTTTACGTGTTCGTCCTCAGAAATAAGTTTGCTTTATCAAGTATTGCACTTGTAATGTCGATAATATGTTGTACTTAGTTATTTGGAGAAGATGAGAAGGCATCAGTCTAACGAGGACTTTGAGCATTATCGATATTGACGTCATATTGTTACGTCGGAATTTGAGTGTGGCATAATAATCCTTAAGGTATTTGAATCCATCTGTGGGATATGCATATCCCGTAATAATATTTCGTTTTTGATAGGTATTTTTGAATAGAGATGGGAAATTATACCGGAACCATATTCGCGGTGGTTTGATTATGTGACTGTTGTTGGCTGGATAACAACATATAGTTGTAATGTTATCAGTAACATCTACAGGTACATGGTAACTAACAACCTAACGCTTTTGATCGCAGGTGTGCCCTTGGAATGGTATACTATGGGTTATCGCTCAACTCTGGAAATCTCGGGGGAAACTTTTACCTGAATTTCTGTGTATCCGGTTTGATGGAGTTTCCAGCTTACACTATGACAGTATTATTACTGGACAGACTCGGGAGGAAATGGCTTCACTGTCTGTGTATGGTACTTGGAGGAGCGGCGTGCCTCTCTACCGTTTTTACTATACTGTACCTGGAGGACAGTAAGTACAAAGGCGCACCATGTATTAGCATATATATATATGAAGAGTCTGAAGAATCTCCTAGAAGAGATGAAAGTACTAAAGACTCGTTGTTCAGAATTTTTATTTTTATAATATTTCTTCGTCCGTAAGGATCATTTTTCTGATTTATAATATATATATATATGTATGTACGTTACAGAGATGCAAAAACATGTGTCCTGCATATTCAACAAACTAGCACGTTCCATATTTAAACTAATCAAGGTTTCACTGAAAGTGTTAATACGTATATTCTACCAGCACAATTGAAATCAACACGGATTTGATGTCTTATAAAGCAGCCTTACTGTTTGTAAGAAAAATACAATTCTATTCAAAAATGAAAATAGAAGTAATAATCAGTAAAAACACGCACAATTAAATACAGAAAGAAGACATTTTTTGAATACGGCTTGTCTGTTTATATATTTCAGAGTACCAGTATATAACTATAGTCCTAGCTATGCTAGGAAAGCTTGGCATTTCGGCAGCTTTCGCAGTTATTTTCATCTATTCTGCCGAGTTGTTCCCAACAGTAGTAAGAAATTCCGGACTAGGCGTTTGCTCATGCGTCGCCCGATTGGGTTCTATGGCGGCGCCATACATAGTACAATGGGTACGTTAACCTAGATAAGTTATCCAATACAAAATTATACATCACATACAGTGGAGCTATTTGCAGTCAATTAACAAATATGTTATACAATAATAGAACATATTTATTTAACACATAGTTTCATGTGGATGGAAAAAACAAGCTTAGAAATTATAAGGGTGTAGCATTGATGTGACGACTGAAGTCAATACATAATGTGAACAGGTTAATGTTATGCTGGCATTTTTAACTGGACGAATTATAATTAATTAATTAATGTCATTAAAAGACAATTGTAACCATATTTCAGGGGAACGATATTGGTGGTAGGCTTGGAAAAGCATTTCCATTGGCGGTCTTCAGTGGACTGACCATCGTAGCAGGTGTTCTTACTCTACATTTACCAGAAACCCTAGGTCAGGAGCTACCGGAAACGATAGCTGACGCCAAATCGTTTGGGACGTACGTATACTATTTCTTGTACAGTTCATTGTGATTTTCTTAAAATGCAATATAGCTCATTTCCCCCTTGTAAAAATGCAAAATTATGTTATGATTACATTTACGTCTAAATCTACAACATGATACATAGTAATGTTCTTCTTTTAACGTATACATTGAAAACGAATCGGGCGTATAAAATAGCACATCTTATGGTGAAGATACATTGAATATGTAAAGTGCAGTATTAATGCTACATACACTGTATTTTACAAACTTTTCATATGTTTTATACGACAATTATCTGGTGCGTCCGATTAAAATTGGTACATTTAGTCATGAAATGTTTGACTGTAAATGATCGATCGCATGCATTTTTACTTTATAAGGTTTACTTGCTTTTCGCTAAATGTAAGCGTATGACATTCAATGTTTTGAAGAATCATTATTTCTTACCCCTTGATGCGTTATCAGTTCTTGCTTTATTGCTACTCTTTGATCGTAATGATGTCGAATATTTTTTGTCCTTGTATGCTGGATCGAGATAGCAATTTGTATCATTTTTACTGTATTTCAGATCGTCGATCAAAAGAAAATCCAAATCTGACGCCGGCCTGGATTCTGGCCAAGCAACAATAACTGAAGCTTTTGTAGATAACGAAGAAAACCGTCACATATAAACACATGACGGCTCCTGAGACAAAAACATTAAGAAAAAAAGAAAATTTACAGAACCAAATTATCTTCTCCAGTATAGCAATATTTTGCTTGGGTGTTTCCTTTATTCCGGTCGGCTTTCCGTACCGACTACGAGTTGGGATTTTGTGCTGGTGTATTGACGATGTGCTGTGCTTTCTGTTTCACGTGTGACTTAATACAGACTGTAAATTTAGCAAATTAGTAAATATCAATGTTACTCGTTCAGTCATAAAGCAATCACAATCACAGCAGAAATGTTGTTTTGATGCCTATTTTCCAATCTTGAATTGAATGAAAGTTTATGATTGCTAATTTAGACTAGTTGCACCATGTATCCCAACAGACAATGTCATTTTGTTCATAGTAGCAAGATTCAGCTGTCAAATTCTTATCGTTGATGTTCTTACAACCTCTCGCGATTGTACATAGGTCACACGTACAGAACACACGCCTAATTTTCTATTTACTGTTGCTGTCTTGTGAAAACTCTCCATAACTTCCTTGAGACGTATACAGCCCGATAATCTAAAGTAGTATAATGACCTAGATTTTAACCTAGTGTAGCTCGATTTCTGTGACAGCATGGTAGATAGACCTGGGACAAAAGGTATTCTAGTAACCTTAGGTAGTCCAGAGACAAAAGGAATTCTAGCTACCTTAGGTAGTCCGGAAACAAAAGGAAGTGTATTTACCTTAGGTAGTCCAGAGACAAAAGGTAGTGTAGTTACCTTTGGTAGTCCAGAGACAAAAGGTAGTGTAGCTACCTTAGGTAGTCCGGAGACAAAAGGAAGTTTATTTACCTTAGGTAGTCCAGAGACAAAAGGTAGTGTAGTTACCTTTGGTAGTCCGGAGTCAAAAGGTAGTGTAGTTACCTTTGGTAGTCCGGAGATAAAAGGTAGTGTAGTTACCTTTGGTAGTCTAGAGACAAAAGGTAGTACAGTTACCTTTGGTAGTCCAGTGACAAAAGGTAGTGTAGTTATCTTTGGTAGTCCAAAGACAAAAGGTAGTGCAGTTACCTTTGGTAGTCCAGAGTCAAAAGGTAGTGCAGTTACCTTTGGTAGTCCAGAGACAAAAGGTAGTGTAGTTACCTTTGGTAGTCTAGAGACAAAAGGTAATACAGTTACCTTTGGTAGTCCAGTGACAAAAGGTAGTGTAGTTATCTTTGGTAGTCCAAAGACAAAAGGTAGTGCAGTTACCTTTGGTAGTCCAGAGTCAAAAGGTAGTGCAGTTACCTTTGGTAGTCCAGAGACAAAAGGTAGTGTAGTTACCTTTGGTAGTCCAGAGACAAAAGGTGGTGCAGTTACCTTTGGTAGTCCAGAGTCAAAAGGTAGTGCAGTTACCCTTGGTAGTCCAGAGACAAAATGTAGTGTAGTTACCTTTGGTAGTCCAGAGACAAAAGGTAGTGCAGTTACCTTTGGTAGTCCAGAGAAGAAAGGTAGTGTAGTTACCTTAGGCAGACCTGAGACAAAAGGAAGTGTAGTTACCTTTGGTAGTCCAGAGACAAAAGGTAGTGAAGTTACTTTTGGTACTCCAGAGACAAAAGGTAGTGAAGTTACCTTTGGTAGTCCAGAGACAAAAGGTAGTGTAGTTACTTTTGGTAGTCCGGAGACAAAAGGTAGTGTAGTTACCTTAGGTAGACCTGAGACAAAAGGTAGTGTAGTTACCTTAGGTAGTCCAGAAACAAAAGGTAGTGCAGTAACCTTAAGTAGTCCGGAGACAAAAGGTAGTGTAGTTACCTTTGGTAGTTCAGAGACAAAAGGTAGTGTAGTTACCTTAAGTAGTCCAGAGACAGAAGGTAGTCTAGTTACCTTAGGTAGTCCAGAGACAAAAGGTAGTGTAGTTACCTTAGGTAGTTCAGAGACAAAAGGTAGTCTAGTTACCTTTGGTAGTCCGGAGACCTATGTTAGCTCGTGACGAAGGGCAGTCAGGTTATCTAATCTTGCTCAATGGATAACATAAGCTAGGCTCCCTTAGGAAGTTGGCAACTGTCAGTTTTGGTGATCTTTAGAAGCTCAATTGTCATTGTTACCTCTAGAACTTTTGGCTACAGTTGGTTTACCTCGCTAACTTAGGTAAATTTAATCTTACGGGAGACAAACGCCCTTTGTTTTAATAGAGACGAATCCTGTGAGCATGCAGCTCTGCATGTACAATTAATGCTGATGTACTTGTCTATCATACGTATGTGTGGTACTTAGAGGACGGCGAAGTGTTAAGTAAACGTGCATCAGAAGTTCGTATGGTCCAAAGAGAACGGTGAAGTGTTAGCTTAACGTGTATCAGATGTTTGTATGTCACAAAGAGATCGGAGAAGTGTTAGATTAACGTGTATCAGATGTTTGTATGTCAAAAAGAGAACGGTGCAGTGTTAGCTTAACGTGTATCAGATGTTTGTATGTCACAAAGAGATCGGAGAAGTGTTAGATTAACGTGTATCAGATGTTTGTATGGCACAAAGAGATCATTTAAGTGTTAGCTTAACGTGTATCAGATGTTTGTATGTCAAAAAGAGAACGGTGCAGTGTTAGCTTAACGTGTATCAGATGTTTGTATGGCACAAAGAGATCGGTGAAGTGTTAAGTAAACGTGTATCAGATGTTTGTATGGCACAAAGAGATCATTTAAGTGTTAGCTTAACGTGTATCAGATGTTTGTATGTCAAAAAGAGAACGGTGAAGTGTTAGCTTAACGTGTATCAGATGTTTGTATGTCACAAAGAGATCGGTGAAGTGTTAGCTTAACGTGTATCAGATGCTTGTATGTCACAAAGAGATCGGTGAAGTGTTAAGTAAACGTGTATCAGATGTTTGTATGGCACAAAGAGATCATTTAAGTGTTAGCTTAACGTGTATCAGATGTTTGTATGTCACAAAGAGATCGGAGAAGTGTTAGATTAACGTGTATCAGATGTTTGTATGGCACAAAGAGATCGGTGAAGTGTTAAGTAAACGTGTATCAGATGTTTGTATGGCACAAAGAGATCGGTGAAGTGTTAGCTTAACGTGTATCAGATGCTTGTATGTCACAAAGAGATCGGTGAAGTGTTAAGTAAACGTGTATCAGATGTTTGTATGGCACAAAGAGATCGGTGAAGTGTTAGAAGAGTCTTTGACTCAAAGGGTTTATCGACCTGAAATAAAATCTTTTATTATTCTTATTATTATTAGAAAGATAATTGTGTAGTGTTAATTGAACGTGTATCAGTAGTTTGTTTGTTAGAAAGAGAATAGTTTAGCGTTAATTAAACGTGTATCAGAAGTTTGTTTGTTAGAAAGAGAATGGTTTAGTGTTAATCAAACGTGTATCAGTAGTTTGTTTGTTAGAAAGAGAATGGTTTAGTGTTAATTAAACGTGTATCAGTAGTTAGTTTGTTAGAAAGAGAATGGTTTAGTGTTAATCAAACGTGTATCAGAAGTTTGTATGCTAGAACATTGTGTGGTGTTAACTATACACTTGAAACAGGACTGATAAAATCAATTGTTCAATCATCCATTTACAAATCTTAATTGAGTTTGTATATATGTAATGAATTAAAACTCATCGAATTGCAATTGAACTTAATAAGATAGGTTTAGTCTTGCATGTCCGTGAAGCGTGCACTACATCAGTGGGACATTCACGATAGGGCCAGTTTGGTCAGTGTTCTTAAAAGATATGTCAAATGCATATATATGGTTATATATTGAGTTTATTTAATACAACACATGTTTTAAACCAAACAAAATACACGTAAAATTACAATAATACCAAGTAATCGATACATTATGCAATTAGTATCGGTGTATGTATCATAGTGATGATATGATATTCAAAATATGTTCATGTGATTGAATAAGAAAGGACAATTGGAAGAATAGGCAATAGACGGATGTGGAATGAGTTCCCCTTGTGGGGACACGCATTGTCAGGTATCGATTAGATGTCCGTAACCTTAGCGATATTCTAATACCAGCAAATGGGAATTAAACCTTAGGAAATAACTAAATTGTCAGATATGAATGAGTCCTTGAAACAAATATTTGTTTTATCACAAGATTCTTTTGGTTTCAATGTGTTGCAAGAAGACATTAGGTTAGTTTATGTCATTAAGTAGCCAGTATAAAAACTACTGATAACTTACGCTTCTTAACTTAACTTTTTATCTAGATATATGATACCAACTCTTCTACTGCTGGTGTATCTCCTGATCCTGATGTCGTCCTCTGACCAGTACTATTGGCACACTCTTTTCTACAATAAAAATATTTTTTCGATATTGGATAGTGATGGCTAAATATTTGAACACAGTTATCAATATACCAAGCATACCTTTACCATGATAAAACATAAAAGTAAAAACAAGAAGTGTAATCACAATAAAACCATATATCTCATTTCCGCAATTTTAAAATGTAATTAATAAAAATTCAATAAAATCATATATCTAATGGTTTTGGAACTACCTTTTCTGGCTGATTTGCAGTGTCTCTGGGAGATATTCTTTCGTGGTTTCGGGTAACAAAACGGTGAGAAATGAAACAACCAATGTCATCACAGCGAACAGGTATAATGGTAGAGCACGTCCAAAGCCCGGAACACTTAAAGCCTATCAAACAATACCACAGATAGCTTGATCAGTCTGAGCAATTAAGCTTCAATGGCCACACAATTCGCGAAATTCGCGAGATTAGGAATGGTTAATAAATGGATTCCATTTCTTTGGCCTTTCCTAATTAAACACTCGAAGTGCTTTTTATTGACTATACATATCATATATAGTTTAATATAGATGCATCAATATTTTCTTCGCCCACTCATATTTACGTATACACTACACGTTTTCAGTACTGAAATGCAAACAATCACACTTAGTTCTTTTAGAATTGCAGTTCACGTGACTCTATATTTTCCTAATTCTGCATCATGCATTCTTCTCACTATATCTGTCTAAAATATCTTTTGAAACATCTTATGAGATTTGATTGACACAAATATTCCTATAGACATATACTTTAAAAAAAAATCTATATAAAACAAACAAATCGTTTTGGAAAAAAAATCCAAAACACTACCTATACATCTCGATCAGTATTGCACAGCGTTATGTTGTACGTGTACTAATAACAGTTATGTACAAGTATTACACTATGGAGTATGTTTATTACACTTGATCTAACACACAGAACCAGACATTGTTCTGGTAAGGATCTAATATATAATACGTACCAGTTGTATTATGTAAGGAGCGATAACAAGTCCGGAATCGCCAACGAAGCAGGCCAACCCCATTCCTGTACTTCGTAAACTCGTGGGGAATATCTCGGCTGCCCACACGTATACAACTGCAAACGTGATGGTAAGACCAAACTTTCCTACCATCCCAAACGAAATAGAAAGTACTTCTGAAAGAACAATCGTCACATCATTACAACTTCAATACACAATTAAATACTGAAAAGATAACCATATAGATATCTTGCAAGTCATTTGCAATTGTAATATCCCTATTAAATTGCTGCCCTGTAGGCGGGCTTTTTTAACATTTGTTGAGCAGAATTGTGTTCTTAATAAGCCATACAAGCAGATAATCCGAAGCATGACTTGGGCTGTACATATAGTTTGGTGCAGGAGACAACACAAAATAGTGCAAACACGTTATCAATGCAGGTGGCAAATTAACTATTGGCAAGTATCTATTGTGTACAGTTAAACTCGTAAAAGTTTCGCGGTTGCAGTATTGTTTTCAGTATTTTTTGGAGATATTAGTTATTATCATATGAACGCTTATCTGAATTTTTCGAAAACTTTTGTCAAAGTTTAACGAAATAGTTGCTGACTGTTTGGACAACACGTTGGTGTTTTAAGTCAAAATAAAAACATACAATGTACTACCCTGATGCCTAGCCTACAACTACATGTTCATCTTACAGGAAATAGTGTCAAGCATAAAGTTTTAATAATAAACCTATAACCTAGGAAACCATGAGTCCGATATAAACAATACCAACTTATCTACCCTATACTTTTGCAACAATACTACTAGATAGAACATCAATGTGTATAAACGTTTTTATCTCGTATGGAGATGGTATCGTGTTTGTCTTGTATATAGTTGTACATATACTTGCCAATGGACCAGAATTGTTCAAGGATTCCCGTTATTAGCAAACTCACTCCACCTACTGTCATCCCCAAAATAAAGAGTTTTTTACGATCAATCCTGTCCAACAAAACAAACGCGACGGCGTTAGCTGGAAACTCAACAATACCAGCTAGTAGATGATTAAGGTAGAAATTCCCGCTCAGATTAGCTGCATTTAAGGCAAATCCGTAGTATGTTAGAATGACAACCATCCTGTAAGAATCAGTAGAATAAATAGAAATGATTAGCAGTTTGTAAATTATATTTAATCACATTTTACGTGCAGTGTACAGTTTAGTGATATTTGGTATGTGATATTCCCAATCGGAATTAATATACCGAAGCTATCCCCCGTAATTTGACATGCAGCCGCGTGTAAATATGACAGGGTAATATTATATATTGGTACACACCTGCCTTGAGGGTTTTGCATTGCATGTCACGACCCATTTACAGTAAAACTATTTATAAGGTAACGGAATTGGACAATTTTTGTTTATTAAAAGTCCTGATCCGTTCAGTTTGCTTACCAGTTTATACAGATTATCACACATCTGATGGAAATGGACCAAGATGAGAAAAGGTGCCAGAATCTAAATTGCTCAGGTTCTCTGTCATTTGTATTGGTGAATTGTACGAGACTCAGCTTGTCTTCACTGTTATTATATTTAGCTATTGTACGGATTATGGAATAGGCTTCGTCATATCTACCCTGACTGATCAGCCAACGTGGTGATTCGGGAATGATCCTAAAAAGACCAGAAACATTGTTAAATTCTCAAATAGACCAACAAATATATATATTTCAGGTTATTTAACTGACAGAAATATGTCAAGGTCAGTAGAGATATAGGTTAATAATATGTATTAATTGTTTTTCGGAGGTGGGGTAAGTTTAAGAACAAACAAAAATAGAATTAAAAAAACAGTTAAAAGGACCGATTGTATTCATTTTCCATTAGATTTTAAGTCTTTTGTACCTGAAACAAACCCTGCAGGTAGGGCGTAAGCATTGTACCTGTTGCCCCCATTGCATTATCGTAAGAGGCGACTAACTTTCGGATCTTATCTTTTCTCTTCTTTCTAAACAACTTTCTTCTTCCTAATGTCTCCCTTGGCAATGCCTCCCTTTTGGCCTTTAGTCGAGCGTTCGCCCCTGTGAGGAAGGCTTTGGGTTCTGTCCCCTTGCCGAGACATACCAGAGTCTGTAAAAATGGTAGTTTCTACTCCTGCTTAACGCTCAGCAATTTAAGAGTGGGACGACTGGTTCACTATAAAGTCGGCATCAGTTCCGCGCTATCACAAGGAGACAAACATGAACATATCGCAGTCTCCCAAAACACACGCATGCATCTTGCACACATGGGAGGCCGTCCTTAAATGACCATAGTTGTTGCTAGGACGTTAAACAATACTAAACCAAACCAAACCAGTACCTGAAATATGCATATCTATTTACCTTAGCAGTCATAAGAATAGAATAACTTAAAAAAAAAAAAAAAATTCTGATTAAGAAACTACAAAGAAACCAATGCAAAACCTTGGTATACATGTTCATAGCACACTGACTGTCTTTAAGATTAGATCCTAAATCGGCGGTTTCTCTCTTTCAATCCCGTCAGTCACGTACACATAATGGAACTTGTTTTCATCCCTTGTCATGCTGGTATCGTACATTACAAGTGATCGAATTTTAGCGTCGAGTTATAATTTTGCTGCTACATGTAATGGCTGTTTTAATTATGTCACCGAACGGGAAGGTATTTACACATGTCGAACATAGGTTTCTTTCTGTTTCAGGCCAGATATAGTCCAAATACCGAAGACATGGAACTGATCTTCTAGTAAAGCTTTCCCGAAACCCACATCATACAGTCTCACTAACTTACAATTGCGTCCTTACTAAGTGACATGCCTTGAAAACACTGGAAAGGCGACACTATTGAATACATTTAAACGGTCAGTGATAGACATCATACCAATTGTACTAAGAAAATGGCAAAGGTTAGCGCAGTATTGATTGTCTACTTGTTTATCGAAAATCTGCAGAAAAGCTAAACATAATAAATATAAAAGAGTTAGAAACTATTCACGGACCAATTCGGTGATGACTGATCTGACAAAAATGTATTACCAAATGTTAATAAAGAACCATTTCAATCAAATAAGGCAGTACTGTCTTCTGTATCTGTAAGGTTGACGAAGTACAAAAGCATTCCTTACTGTAAATATAAGATACTTACCACCAGTAAACGATAAATAGTGTCAGTGGGGCAGAGCATGCAATTTGAATATATTTCCAATCACGGAATCCATATCCAATTCCTGATAACAAGATCAACCCAGCTGAATAGAAGAAATTAATCAGAATCCCAGCCCAGCGACGCTTGGATGGTCCAACAAGCTCTAAACCTGCATAAGCACGAGCACGAGTGATCATAATAAAACCACGAGATAAAAGATTATTATATCATTCATATTAATTGATATAAAAGTTAGATAATAGTATAGATAATGCTTCATTGGTTTGTTCTTCGAATGACGTTTCCTCTCTTGTAATTATAGGTTAAACTTGCCAACCCTGTATCGAATTATATTTAATAAAATGTTTTGGAATTTATGTCCCTTATTTAAAGATCCGGACACTTTTATACATTGCATTCAGAATATCTTATATTATGTATTATTACAATATGTTATCATATTACACAAAATGTAAAATAGGTTTGCAAAAAGTTAACATATGGGTATAACATACTTTCATGAACGAGATAAAACATAGTGTGATAATAATACAGGCAGTAACGTGTAACAACACACATTCACTAACACACTGTCACCTGATGACGTGTAAAGTATGCCCGCACACGATAGTTATTCATCTAGCGGTCTATATCTGGTAGGAAGACGATTGTTTGCTATGGACGTTAACTGGGATATGTAAGCGTTGTTTATGATAGTTCCGCATACGATTAGAAGATTTGACATTGTTTATATTGAGTCGGTAATTGCTATATTCCAATAACGTTATAACATTTCGTTATATAAGTAAATCTTACCTAAGATGAATGTGGTCGAGTATAAGCACGAAGAACACAGAGACTGGGTGAATCTAAGTAGTGTAAACACGTAGATATTTGGAGAGAACTCGGAACTGATACCAACCAGCATAGCAAAGACAGTGCTTCCACATAACACCAATTTCCTACCGAATCTGAAATAAAGAGGATCCCGTCAAAATGTAAATGTAGATTGGAATAAAATACTGTGTTTTAGTGATTATTTATGTAACCATTGATCATTTTAAAGGCTCAATTTGTATACCTCTATAATATTTCAGACATTTATTGAATTTTTGCTATCTAAAATGTTAATGAATTAGCCATTCCCATTACCTGTCAGTAACAAATCCTTGCAGAAACGACCCCGTCATTGACCCTGAGTGTATGATGACCTGTATGTACGCGGAGGTTAGCTCAGTATCACACACCAGGTTATACTGCAACAGTAAAATAAGAATACACAGTACTGAAAGACAGATGAACACACTAGCAATAGAGTTGCAACGTACCACCCAGGGAATTATTATTTTATAATGTTTCTATTCAGTTTAAAATTTCCCGTCCAATTACAAAGGGCAAAATATTGACGTTTATACCTTTCTTTTGCACATATTATAACAATACAATGTTATATCAAGGTTAATATATAGGTCACCTAATTCCAGATCGATAATCAATATCAATTAATATGTCATATATTTCATTTGAAAATATTTAATAAGTGAAGGGGTACCAAAGGTTAGTAAAAAGGTCTTAGGATAATATTAAGATAATAATATAGATCAACATGAATGATATTTCATGTATTGTTTTGTCAAACAGAAAATGCTCTCTCTATCATCACTGAACTATATATTGTGTACCTACCTCAGAAACGTACGTAGAAATGAACACAGTCTGATCATACGACCAAGACGAACACGCATACGACGTTGTATTCATACTGTTATTTCCAATCGTAACACTGCATTCCCCATATTCATACTGGTCAGGATGATCAAGGGAAGAATTGCCGGCGTAATTAGGGGATGTTTCCTTGATTTGAACCGGTGTAGCCATCGAGGCACACCTGTTGAAAAATATTAAACATACTCGTTATGTATTTGTATGATTTTTGACGATCTTTCAAGTTAAACACTTTAACACTCCTTCATAAACTAAAAAGTAAGTTGTATAATTCCCCTGACATAACTGACGTTTTTAAATATCAATACCATCCTGTCATGTCAGAATTGACACTTCTTAATTAGGGAAGAATGACATTTCTTACATGTGTGTCGGAGTATACATCAGATAAGCATTTAGTATGTCAATCATGGCAAGGAAGAGGATTGGTAGGCACAATAGAAAATATATTCGCTTCTGATATGGTCCGAATTCCCCAATCACTTTCAGGATATCGTCAAACTGCATGGTGATAGTCGATTCTACAATGATAACATTAACAAAATCATGAAGATAATCAAACATATATCAGCATTGCTGTCATATAGTAAATATTTGGTCATAGTGTATTCTAAAATGATGTTTTCGGTAACGAGCGATGTAAAATTGATGTTCACAGTTTACGAATAGAAAAAAAAAAAAAAAATATTCTTCCAAATTTATTCATTGTGGTGCAAAAGAAATATACATTGTGTTTTTTAATGTTACCATAGTAGCCGTATTCAGATGCAGACTAACAGTAAACTCTAACTGCGTATAAATAAGTGTATACACAATGAAAAAAGGTTTACCTTACCTCTACAACTTGTTTCAAATATGAAAATGAATGAGAGGGCGCTGACCAAGGTGGACTTTTTATATAGTGTCCGTTTGCCAGCTGTATATATGCATCCTATTCCCACGCCTAGAAGTTCGCATTTGCATGCCTGAGAGTGTCACTGAGAAGGACAGTTGGAGCAGTAAAGATTTTCGATTGGATCCGCCATTTTCTTTTCATTGCAGCCATACTGTGATCGGTCAACAACATATTCCAATATACTGATCCAAGGTGTCTGCAATCTATTTGATGTGTTAGCATAAACTGTGAGTATACATCCACTATACTCAGGCCTATAATTTAGGCTCGCGGGGATGAATATACGAGCTCATATGAAATCAACATTCAAAACGAACATTCTGTAAGCGGATGACATATATTCCCGCCTTTTTCTTTCGTTTTTCTTTCGTTGACGACGCCATTTTTCTTTTAACTTGGGATCCGAATTTAGCTGCACCTGCACTCCAAAGTTATTTTTCTACTTTTATATTATATTACCTCTGTTCCTTTAGTAGTTTTAGTAGTTTTTAATTATCTTTTTGCCCATATTTACATACTCTGCAAACGTTCCGGACACTTCTCTTTTAATTAACTCACCCTAATAACCAGATGTGACTAGCACACAATCTCTGACAGCCGAGGTCGCTGTGTAAACCTTACGTTGTTCGACTGCCCACAGTACATATATTAAGATTGTTTTTAACCTCATTAATATCTCATCCTAGTCTTTTTATTTTTATTTTGTTTTAGAGGTATTAACGTTGTGTATCGTAATAGGTACTTTTATTAACATTGTTACCCTGTATTTTATACTTAGCTAACACTGTAGTTCTATAGTCAACCGTGTGTATACAATAACAATCTTTGTATTTTGCTTTTTAAATTGTTTTTTAAGTTGTGTTTTATATATGCTACCACTATACATCCGCTTTAGCCTGGTCGCTGTCCCTATCCATTCATTATATGTTGTATTATAGGGATCATATAATACAGTGTCCCATAAAGGGGCTAGCTTGTAAAAATCGTCTGTCGAAAACTCTTGTTGAATTGTATATATACTTTAGGGCAGTTCTTCATTCAGCCAGCTATTTGCTGTATATTTACCCAATAGACCCACCCACCATGCCCTATCTTCAGGCTATGGCTACGACAGAGACCGCAACACCCGGACGTTACATTACAACACATAGAAGGAGTGCCAGAACCATTAGACATCCACCTAAATTACGACTAGATGAGGCCTCAACCCAGGATATCAAGAGATCCAAATCCTACACATTGAATAAGAAGAAGGCGCTCCAAAAGAAGCTGGACAACTGTGAGACACCGAATATCACCTATACAGAAAAGTATGGAAATCACCTATATACTATGGGTACTGGCCTTTATGAAATATATAAAGGAACAGCCATTACCTACTACACAGAAAAGCAGACCGATCCTCTATTCCCTCATCACATCGACATCTCGAACAGAACTGACGAGTTGGGTGCTGGAGTGGAAACCAGAGTAAGGGTCTCTAATAAAGTAAGAAAGAGAACAGGTCGCCTCAAATACTGTGTTATGTTGTACCACACTACATCTAGTTTAATGGTGAACGGAAACCAACCACAGTTCTTCTTTGAGGATCATAATAAGATTCTGGCAGCCATCGAATGTAACCCCGAGACTATGACCCTGGACAGCAAATTAAGAGTTCACTTGATAGAGGCCCTTAAAAAGATGTTCAGCGACGACACAACCTGCACCTGTCTCTTAGGTATCTACCCCCCAACAGTCCACCAATCTAGAGGAAGCAGATAAACTGCAAACAACTACCACCAACCTGTTTATTCCTACTAGACATCCAACAATCGCCCCCGCTGATACCCCACTATCAGATTTCACCAGACTAAACATAGACAATCCAGATCTGACTGATATTATTAACGGTAAAATTGAAGCAGGTATATTGTGCCCACTTTGTAAAAATGACACAGCTACAGACTGCGTGGAGTGTTCAAAATGCGGACTATGGAGCAACTACTATTGTGATGGTCTGAGTAAAAAAGAGTTTACTCGACACCGAGCGGATGAGCTATTACCCCATACCTGTTCTAGTTGCAGATTGCTAGATGACCAACTCATGATCGATAGACCTGCAGACTGCTGCTCTCCTACTATGGAAGAACAATTAGAGGAACAGATACACCGCCCATTGTTGGAGGACGAAACATCCCTCAAACAACTAAATATTGTTGAACAAACCCCGGAAACTGCTACATCATTGGAACTCCCAAACCAGCAACTACTGACACCTAAACACATCGCTGCTGCACTCTCTCCAAAAGTCATACTGCAAGCTACTATATCCGGGAGAGATAACTCTCTCCGAGCATCCTACATAAACAATGATGGAACCCCCGATAGGAGGACAGAGAACAATCCTCACATAAACGATGCCCAGACTCCAACTGCTGTCACACAGGACTCGGAGCCCCGGAAAACCATACCTATTAGAGCCAGGAAAGCCACCTTCAAAAAGAAGAGTAGGGACTGCACCATGGATGATAAAGATAAACAATTAGCTACTTGGCGGGCAAAGATCATACCTCTGGAGGATATCAACAAAGAACAGGAACGAACTATCCGGGACCTTAGGCTACAGCTTCTTGCCACAAATCAGGTAACTAGAGATGCCCCATCTCATCCACCTACCAACCAGGCTAGACATCCTTGAAGTTAAATTCAACCAACTCGACATGCAACACAAATCAATCTTACAGGAATCACAGAATTCTAAAACCGTGCAAACAACGACCAACGCGAACTCTAAGAAGACACAGAATCATTTTTTGTCCAATGGCCACAAGGGAAGCCATGCGAAGATAGGCAAGAAACATACCAGCCGGGCTCAGCGATTCCAGGGCCAAGAAAGACCCACAGACCACATGAGGGGGTCGTCTACCAGACTGAAGACGAGCCAGGGGATACTAGCAGGTCCACAGTTGCACCAGACCCAACACAGGAGAAAATCACTATCTCACAGACCTCCAACAACTCCGACATATATAAGCCAATTTCCCACCAGCCTGCCAAGTCAGAGGGTACTACAACACGATTTAGCACAGGCCGACGTAAGAAGTAATTGTCTATACATCCAGAAAATTTTAGAAGATCTAGAGATACTCTGCCTACAATAGCACTGGTTGTTTAATTTCGAACACAGTGTGGTGAACCAGCTCTTCCCTGACTGCAACTGTATTATCAAGTCCGTCGATGATGACAATCATATATTAACTAAGGAAAGAATCCGTGGATATGGAGGCGTTGCTATATTGTGGAAAAAGAACATAGATGTGGCATGCAAACGGTTACCAGAAGGTAGTTCCAGGACAGTCGTCATTAGTATAAGTACAGACAAAGACAAATACTGCCTAATAACCGCCTACATGCCTTGTAGAGGTAAGGTAAACACAGACACAACATTCCAGGAAGTTGTTGACGAGGTAAGGGAGATTATCCCCAAGTACAGTTCTGATCACAGGATGATTCTATGTGGATACTTTAACAGCTCTATCACCAGAGACCCCCCTAATACATCTGACAGACTACTTTCAAAGTTATTAGCAGAGTCCCGCCTATCACCTACAAGTGGAGACGCAAAATCACCAACTTTATTCCACCATAACGGTATCGACACAGCTCAAATAGACTATATATTTCTTGGAGGAGGGTACAGCATGCTGCTAGACTCCAAAACCCACTCGCATCACGCTATCAACACATCAGACCATACCCTGGTCTCTGCCAGGATTAATGGTACACTATGTTCCTCTACACGAGAACTCATACCACCGACGAATATGCTCCTGCCCAAACCTGATTGGGACAGGTGTAACATAGATATCTACCAGCAAACGACCGACACGGAATTGGATATTGACATGATGATAGACCGTCCATCGTCATTATTCAGCATCACTGAAGCTATCAATCATCTGAACGATGTACTACAAACGGCCACAGAGCGATCTATAGGAAAAAGACGAGCCAGAACTAAGAAGAAAAGCTCCATATCCTGGACCGATGAAATTGCTGTCGCTTGCAAATCCGCTAAATCTGACTATATGTTTCCAGACATTAGCCACCCCTGTTAATAAAGACCACTTTGATCATAAACATCTGACAAGGTACTCTGGATGTCCTACAGATCGAGGCCTTCCTATCCTCAAATGTACAGTCCATGCCAAGGTTTACCACTGATGCCGTGCACAGTGCTATACAGAAGTTGAACAATAATAAAGCTGCGGACCAT